GAATTGTAGCTAAAAGCAGCTGAATCGTAGCTAAATGTAGCAGAATCATAGCGAAGTAGCTAAAAGTAGCAGAATCGTAGCTAAAAGCAGCAGAATTGTAGCTAAAAGCAGCTGAATTGTAGCTAAAAGCAGCTGAATCGTAGCTAAATGTAGCAGAATCATAGCGAAGTAGCTAAAAGTAGCAGAATCTTAGCTAAAAGTAGCAGAATTGTAGCTAAATTAGCATAAGAAGACAAAAATCGAGCACGTATACTGAAAGAGAACAATGTTTTTAAAAGAACTGAAGAGATCTTCATGTATTTTTCTATGGGGAAGATATTTGCAAGTGAAATTAAATATTTTTAAAAGTTATCCTGTTTCTGGAATGAGCTGAAGTATTTGCTGTATGGCAGAATAATCAGAAGTTCTTAGACTAGAAGAAACAATGTGAATAATCAAAATAAACCCAGAAACCAAAGTAAGAACAGGAGCTCTCTGACATTGTGAAACAGGAGACAGCAGCTCCTTAAAGCAGCGTTCGTGTGGACCATGTGCTCCTGAAGTCAGCAGAGAAGATGTTTGGTGATAAAACTTTCTGTTTCTCTGAGCGACCGAGACTCTTGGGCTCAATGTGGTGACAGCAGATTGAGAACACTCCCCAACCGTGCCGCAGATAAAACGGGTTGGCCCCTGCTCCACTTGAAACACTCAGTTTCAGGCTCTGCAGCGCCAAAATGCACTTTTTATAGGTTTGAGTTTTCATTTTCATCAGCAACTACTTAAAAACAGAACATGTCGACATTTGCTGCGATACTTGATGTTTCTGTTTATTTCTTTAGCAGTTTATTTGACTCGTTTGTTTCGAGGTTTATTTTTCTTTTGTCTGGGTTCTGTTGTTTGTTTCCTCGTCACTTTGCATCTTTATCCATGCGTGTTTGTGCACTTCATTGATATTTATGTAGTTGTTTGTCTCCCGGTCCTCCTTGTCCCATTTCCCATCAGTCACGTTCCTCGGCGTGTCCCCTCTTAGTCCGACACACACCTGTCCCTAATCAGCAATCGTTCCAGCTGTTTCCATTTCCCGCTCACCTCTGTTCTATTTATTCAGTCACTGTTCCACCAATGGTGGCACGGTAGCACAGTTGGTAGAGATGTTGCCTCGCAGCAAGAAAGTCGCCGGTTCAAATCCCAGCTGGGGGCCTTTCTGGGCGGAGTTTACATGTTTCCTCCAACAGACCAAAAACATGCATGTTAGCCTGATTAACTCTAAATTGTCCCCACGTGAGAGAGTGAATGTTGTCTGTATGTGTCTCTGTGATGGACTGGAGACCTGTCCAGGTGTCCCCCACCTCTCACACAGCGACTGCTGGACGCCAATGACCTGAAAAGGAAGAGATGGATGGATGATGGATGGATGGATGGATGGATATATTTATTGTTGAGAAGAACAAAGCTGGAGCTGTTTTGGTCAAACCTTATCAAAACTGTAAGAGCTCATGCTCAGAGTGTGCTTGTGAATCACTCTCAGCTACTACCACACTGAATTGTTTTTAGTTTTAGTTGCTATTGTTGACCGTGGCAGCGTCATGAACTGTGTTGGCGGCTGTAGATACATTCAGCAGTTATTTACTGAAAGTTTCATTCAAATGTGTCCAGTTCAGGAGATATTTTGCTAACAATACATAAGAACTCAAGCGAGTTAAATGTCAGCCTTAGTCCAGGTCCAGTATGTGTTTTTGTACACAGATGCATTCATTCATTGCTTTATTCAGATCTTACAGCGCACGCTGCCGGGCCAGTTCCTGCAGCTTTGCAAACCCGATAAGGTCCAACTTGCAAGAACTCTCCCAGCTCTACGGTAATGGTTAACCAGATATCTCATCTGGGAGGGGGCGTGTTGGAACAGACGCAGACACGAGTTTCTGTCGTCCTCATTGTTCTCCGGTTGAATTCATTCATAGCTGCAGGCAGAATGGAGGACATGCAACCAGACACTAAACCCAAACCGGAGCCTGGAAACCAAGACGAGCAGGAAGGTAACGTCATCTGGAGGTTTCTGTGGACACTTCCAGCTTTTTTAAAGTTTCACTTCCAGCTTTTCTAAAGTTTGCTTACTTTCAGTGTACAGCTAAACAGACCCCAGCTACACTTCTCTCTGATAAATAAGAGGTGGTTTCAAAAGCTCCACTTGTTGCATCATGTGTGTCCTGCTTCTGTCTGAAGATGGAATGCGTCGCCGACTGAGGGACAGGGACCTGCTCAGGAAGAGGAAGGCCGAGGCAGAAGAGAAGGAAACTAACCAGTGGGTTTTGGGGTAAATGTGTTAAAGAAGCGCCGTCAGGAGACTTTGTGCTGGTCTCCTGAGCTGGGCGCAGTAAACGGAGCGCCTGCAGCCGCATTGTGTTCACACACTATCAGCTCCCTGCAGCTGCTTATCGCTCCTCTCTAGTTTATGTTGAACGTGGAGCGAGACGGAACCAAAGGTTACCTCGCTGGCTCTGTTGACCGCCCAGAACCCGGTCATGGACTTTGTCCTTTCAGAGTCAACGTGCCCGCTGGTTCTGAGTTAACTAGTTCTGCTCTTTCAGGGCGGAGAGCCAAAGGAAGAGATCAAGAGCTGAGACCAAGAGCGGCCCGACAAGGAGAGGGCGGCCCAGGAAGGTTGAGCTGGTACCAACGGTCCTGGACGAGGCCGCTGGTGGGATCCAGGAGACCCCGGCAGTGGTGGTGGCCCCCGAACCTGCTGCGGCGTTCATCTCAGACCAGATCTACGAGGCTCTGGCCTCCATCCAGGCTGTGGAGCCCCAACCAGCTCCTCCTGCACCGACGCTGCAAACCGTTGTTTTCCAGTCGGCCGTGGGTCCGTCTTCAGATCCTGCTTCGTCTCAAGACCCCGTCCCAGAAACGGGTCTGGCTCCTCCCCAGTTGGAGACCCTCTACATGGAGCCACAAGACCAGGAGGCCCCTGAGCAGGTGCTGATTGAGGACTTGGGGCCAGATGAGGAGGAAGAAGAACCTCTGGCAGAAGGCAGAAGAAACGATGAAGGTATGGACGACGACGATCCTCCTGATGATCTTCTGTGCTTTCTGTGAACTCGTCATCTTTTTGTTCTTCAGGTCTGAGTGGAAGTCTGCTGATCGACGTTCCCGAACAAATCAAAATGAATTCTGTTCCAGCAGCGTGCGCTCCTCTCCTGCCTCAGGAATACTTTGCAGAAAACTCGTTGTAGATTTGAATCAGCTCAGAAGACGAGAAGGTCTCGCGCTGCGTCTCAGATTTATTTCATTCACCGGAGAAAGGAAATGTTTTGTGCTGAGCTCCTAGTATTATTTTTAAAGGTACTCAAACCAAACGTTATTTATTTAAAGTGTGCTTTTTATGAAATTAAGCTCTATTTTTTTATTTAGCTAATAATACACAACAAATTTAGCTCTTGTTGTTGAAGACAAAGAATAAATGCATTTGTATTTGTCGACTTTTTAAATTTAATTTAGAAAAAAATGAAATAAAATCACTTAAATCATGTTTATTCTCATCTGTGTCTTTAACATCTACAGAGTAATTTTTTATTATCAGTTTTTATTAAAGTTTAAAAAAGCTGTAAAGAACAAATCTTCATTTGAACATGTTCCAACATTTAAAGAGTTTCGTTTAAGTCTTTTATTTAGACAGTTTGTGTTAATCTTCCTGAAAGAGGAGATTCTTCTTCTTGGCTTCAATGTGAAAAGTTGGATATATCTTCATTATTATAAAACTGCTCTAAATAAAACACTTTTATCACAAAATATATCAAAATATGTAAATCAGTGGGAGAATGTGAATGAAACACTCAAAATAAATCACAGTATCATCAATGTACGTTAAAAATAAACTTCCTGTTTACTTTAAATACTGAAATACATTTTATATTTTTATTCACACAAACAACTGCAGAGTTTCTAATCAGTCTTGAAAAGTGCAGATAAGTATGAAATTAGCTTTTAATGTTTTTCAGTTAACAATATGCACATAAAAAAGATCGCACATAAACATATTTTCACTGGACACCAAATAAAACAATAAAATCTTACTTTTTGTTAAAATTATCATTAAAAGAAGTTGGCAAGTGACGTATCCCTCAAATTAACTTAACTCCTCCGTGAGAGAAGATTAAAGTTGTAAATATTTTATTTAAATTAAAATATGTTGACTGAAAATGAACATCCCATTTTCACAGTGTAGAAAAACATCACTGTTTCCAGGATTTGTTACTTTTATAAAAAGTTAAATTCTGATTTTTCTTTTGTGAAAAACGTTCAAACAGGAGAGCACTTTTCAGCTATTGTTTCAAATACTGACGTGAAGTAAGGTGCAAAAGTTTTAATCCAGCTCTTATTTTGGTGCACTTTAAAGAAAATTGTCTTTTGTTGAATAAATGAGAGAAAGAGAGAGAGAGAGAGAGAGAGAGAGAGAGAGAGAGAAGAGAGATGAGAGAGAAAGATAAAGAGAGAGAGAGAGAGAGAGGAGAAGAGAGATGAGAGAGAAAGAGAGAGA